GCCGTAGCTGCTGAGCGTTGATGAATAGCCGGCCAATCTGCTCCATCACCACCGTGGCCATACTGACGGAGGCTGGCAACTATGGGATCTACAGGACAATAAAGGAAACAGACTGCTGTGGTGGTGTTAAGAAAAAAATTATAAGTATTTATATCATCCATAACTTATCCGGTGTGGGGGGTGGCAGTGAGCCTGTGATAGGTAACATGAGGAACGACAAGGGGCATGCAATAATATAGCAATAATTGCAACAAGCTTAAAATTTCATGTGCATTAATACACGAATCGATTAAAAGTGTGACCGCACTAGCGGACTGTTCGGCGAATGTATGAGCGGACCGACGGGTTGTGTGACTTAAATGAATTTTGTCGACCCGACGCCGCGCAACGACAGCGAGCGGAACTGCAGCCGGTGAAAATGTCTGGAAGCTGGTAGTTGCGTAACGCATGACTCCCCCGATCCGAGGCTGCACCGCTCCTGCTCGATCTCCAACATGCTGCCGCTGAAAAGCGAGTGAATGAACGGTCCGCCGCAGCGCCGGCAGGGCGGGTGTTCCAGCACAAATCGTGAATAATTCAGTGGCCGCATGCAAATGAGTGCCGTTTTTAGAACGGAACGCTGATTTCTGTACTAAAATCAACCTGAATACCCCAGTTTAACAGCTGTTTTGTACGCGACTGTGGTTCCACTATTTGTGTAATAGAATAATATAATAACCCGCAATCATATAATAATATAACAGATGTGAACACATTGTTCCTCTATTTGCGTACAGTATTGCACAATGTGGTTTATAGTGTACGTTTACAACATGCATTATTTTGACGTTTCCTCCGTTTAAAAGACCTACGACAGACATGTGATGCACCCATATTTCAGTGATAATTAACCATATAGAGGCGAATCAAAATGAGAAATGTCCCCTTTTCGCCACCCTAAACCGTAGTCCTGGAATGAACTGCAGATACGGAGAGACATCGGGGAATGCGCTCGCCTACCTGAGGCTTCGTGATCGTCGCGGGTGTCAGTCCTTGTCTCACAAAGGCGCCCTCCTACGCCGATCGATATTCTCAACAGGCGGCATTTTGGGAACCGAGTAGGAGAATTATCCCTTTTACCCGTAAACTGTCGTCGACTTTGTAAAGGACGGCTTATTAAGAGATGGGTAGTGGTCTGTCTGGAAATTGCTGAAGATTTAATGGACATTCTACTCAGCCAATCACGTGCGGAGTTAGGGGCACGGTCTCTGCAGTATCGTCAGTTCCATCCAATGGCGTGCCTGCGTTTGATACTCCACGAGCACTGTTGGCACGCTGTTTCCTCCACCGACCCTGTGTCTGTTTACACGTTCAGTGAAAAACAGTGAGAATCGGGATTTGGTTTGGCTAAGCCGATCTGGAAACAGTTTCTTAAGGCTAGGTAGTAAACGGAACATGCACATCTCGAGAGGGATGTGGAAACGAGCAGTGCTTTAAATAACATTTTCAGCATAGCTTGTAACACCCGGTATGCGTTTTCGGCATACGAAGCCTATTATGCTGCTTTATTTGTGCATTCGTAAAAATCTGTATGCCACTACGATCGCGGCGAAAGCCTATACTACGATGAAAAGTTGTACACTTTCAAACAACTGGATAATATGTTTCTGATTTTCCACTACCTGGAGGGAAAGTATTGTAAAGCACTTTGTGACAGTTTGATTGTTAAATCGCACTGTACTAAATACTGACAGATCAGTAAAGTAATGCTGTAATGTACCAGAGCTGGTATACTGATTCCTTATACTGATTCTTATTCTCTTGTAATCCTTCCCTTCTTCACCAGAGCGGCACACATTCTTAGAGCTGATCACATGACTTTGGTTCAGATCAGAATCCTTTTATTTTCCATGTACAAAAAGTACAAGGAATTAGTTCTGGTGCAGGCGGTGGCATGTGTACAAATGAAACATGCAATCAGAAAAATATATATAAAACAATAAACAGAATAATGATAAGGAGGAATAAATACACGAACATGCCGACATGTAATTAAGGGTGAGACAACAAGGTGTTTGGGGTACGTGGAGATAGTATTACAAATACACTCCTAGGGGGTGCTGTGTGGTTCAGAGGCTTATGCAGTGGCAAGTGTGAGCCCCAGCCTCAGCGGAATAGGATGTCATAGGATGCCACATTTGCAATAAGGTAGTTTGTGTAATTTCTTCCCTGTCAGATAGTCCACGGTCAGTGGTAAGTGGATTATTGCAAAATGGAAGCATTTCGGAACAAGAGAAACAGCCAGGAGGTAGCAGACCACATAAAGAAACAGAGTAGGGTCACCAAGTGCTGAGGTGCATAGTGTGTAAAACTCACCAATGCTCTGTTAACTCAATAACAGCAGAGTTGCAAACTTCCTCCGGCATTAACCCCCACACAAAAACTGTGCGCCAAGAGCTTAATGGAATGGGCTTTCATGGCCGAGCAACTGCATGTAAATTTCACATCACCAAGTGCAATGCCAAGCGTCAGATGCAGTGGTGTAAAGCACACTGCCACTGGACTCTGGAGCAGTGGAAACGTGTTCTGTGGAGTGACGAATCATGCTTCTCTGGCAGTCTGATGGATGAGTCTGGGTTTGGCAGGTGCCTGGAGAACGTTACCTGCCTGACCTGCATTGTGCCAGCTGTAGAGTTTGGTGGAGGAGGGATCATGGTGTTGGGTTGTTTTTCAGAAGTTGGGCTAGGCCCTTTAGTTCCAATGAAGGGTTCACTTAATGCTTCAGCATAACAAGACATTTTGGACAAATCTATGCTTCCAACTTTGCGGCAACAGTTTAGGGATGACCCTTTTCTGTTCCAACATGACCACGCCCTGGTGCACAAAGCAAAGTCCACAAAGACATGGTTGGATGAGTTTGGTGTGGGAGAACTTGACTGGCCCACACAGAGCCCTGACCTCAACCCCATTGAACACCTTTGGGATTAACTGAAACGGAGACTGTGACCGAAGTCTTCACATCCACAATGAGTGCCTGACCCCACAAAAGCTCTGGATGATTGGGCAGATATTCCCACCAAAATTCCCTCCAAAATCTAGTGGAAAGCCTTCCCAGGAGAATGACAGCTGTTATGGCTGCAAAAGGGGGACCAACTCTATATTGATGCCTATGGATTTAGAATGGGATATCATAACATTTCCTTACTCTCAGCTTCTCAGGCTTCAGACAGAGGGTGTGGGCAGCCAATGATCTTCTCTGCACATCACACCTTTTGTCTCCACTTAGAGTGTCAGGATGCAGAGTCAAACCAGACCGGAATGGAGGATGTAAAAATGGATTCTGTTGCAGCTGAAAGAAACCATCAATGTCTGTGACAGTTTGCATTTCATCAGCTCACACAAGGCACTGTTGGGCCTTTGTGTTTTAGCAGGTGATGTTGGTGTCCCATTTGGTGGTGCCTAGAAATGTTAAGAGCTTGGTTTTGCTGACTGTAGTGTCCTTCATGACTGGGGGGGGGGGGTTCCCAGAAGTCCACAGTTCTTTGTTACTCTTGCTACTCCACCCCAAAGATTTAGACTAATATGGCCCTTCAGTGGTGAAATAAGCCATAGCCCTATTGAGACTTGGGATTTATGATGTCTTTGGGAGCAGAAATGATTTGTTGTAGCTGAGGAGCAAAAACAAACGGATTAGTAAAGAGGGGCCTTTGTTTTCAATGTATTAACATGCTTAATAGACTTTTCTTTATAAATTATGGATACCAACATAAGAGCTCCCCAAACCATCAAACCAGGAATTATGGAAGGCTTACACCTGTTGAATGAGGAACTGCGAAACATCTCTGGAGTGTGTTTATTTAGCTGCCATTCATTGAGTCGCTAGCTTCATTGCATCCCCCCCTTCCAGCTCTATGCTATGGTCAGACCTGCCTGCCTGTCTCCTACGCTGCTGCTGTCCATAATGTCCCTTTGTGAAAGGGCTGCATGACCACCATGAATGAAAGGCCACCATTGTGTGCAGAGACCCACCAAAGGCGCAGAGAAGTATTCGGTGCTCTCCCTGGCTCGTCCTGCTCAGAATTTCCGCGCCGGACACTGAGGCGATAGACGGCCCTAGCCAGGAAGAGTGCCATAGAATTCTCCAACCTCTTCCAGTACCCTGCCACCATAAACTGCAACGGTACTCACTTCCAAAGGCTGCTTTTGTCTTGGAAGTGACAGGTGGGGCTCCCACAGAGAGCAGTAAGGGACACAGCCATGGGGATGATGAAACAGAGGCCTATTTGACAGCCATTTCCTTAAATTGGATTTACTTTTGTATTTATACAACTCATTTATGATCAGGATTTAACAATGCTGTAACGGGGCTGTGGAAACACATTTGTGACAGCTCCTGGTCTAGTCCAGCAGAGCAATATCACATAGTACAACGAGACCAATGAGCAAACAAGTTTATAATCAGATCACAGTCCAGCCTGATCAAGTGAAACAAAGGAGGCCTTATGTCAGCCAGCAGCAGAGAATTCCAATGTCCAGCAGCAGCCCAAGCATGCCTGTGGAGCAGAGTCACAGCCAGTTCCTAGGTCTCCGGGTTTGGCTCATTTCAGGTTCAACAAAACAAGGAGCTCCACCTAGATTTAGGCTCAGAATTATTGCCATACTTAAGGGTTTTAGAGAGGCTTGGAAAGCATTTGAATCCTTCCAGAAGTCACCACACTTATTTGGGAAGGGCCTTAAATTTGTCTGACAATTCACTTGCGCCCAACCCAAAAGGCAGTTTTCCTTGGAAAACTGAACATTACTAACTTACCACTAGATGTCAGCAGACTCAAGGTAAATAAGCAAAATTGCTGCCACACAGAAGACAAGTTTAAATGTCTGTCAGGTAAAATACTCTGGATGGTAACTAAATTGAACCATTTTGCTGTCTAAGGGCTACAAGACATTATAATACTTCAAATTTCAAGACCTGAGTCCTTTCAATACTATCAATATAGCCAGAAATCACAATTCAAACACAATTCATGCAACTTTATTTTTTTATTTTATTTTTAAGCACAATTTCCTTAAAGCCAGCTAAGTTTCCAACACCACAAAATGTCGTAAGTGCATTGCAAGACAAATATCTTTACACCCGGAGTAGTAGCCCCAAAACCTGGTGTTAAGATGCCTCAGCATAGATCAACCCCATGTCCTAAAACCCCAGACTAACCTGCCAATACTTAGACTGAGGGTAATGCAGCAATGGCACTATGTGCTAAAGCGCTGAAATTCAGCACCTACCCACAGAAAAAAAAAAAACTACAATGACCAGGTCTGGGGCCTTTACTCTAGAACATTGAATGGTACGATTAGGATACGCGTGTCAGAATGTGGTTTATTTAAATGACCCCTTAAACCACTGCAGTGCCAGTAAGACAGTATTCAAAAACTTTACAATTTTATGAACAAGACCAATAGTAAAATGTTACAAGATGGCAATTAACAGGCAAGCCATACAATTTATAAAAACAAACATGACTCAAACTGCAACTTTATTAGGATTAGAACAGTGGGTTTGAAATACGGAGTAACCTCGCACTATGCAACAGAAAATGTTAAGACATGCATCTTCAAATAGAAGAAAAAAAAAGACTAGTTTAGTTGTCCAACTGTTTAAACTGCAAGATAGAAAACAAAATATCCACATCAGGCATTATTGCAAGCACATGAAAGGGGGAAAAAACCCTATGCTGTCTTCAGTGTAACAAGGTGGCAAGTGAACAAAACAAGTATATATATACTGGCCATGAAACAAAAAAATAAGTCTTTGGATAAGTAGTAATAAAAAAACAAAAACAAAAAAAAAAACCTACACCATCCCCCAAACTGCAACACTCAATCATCCTCCTCTTTGGTCTCTTTATTCTTTCGAACCTCTTCGAGTTTCTTATCCTGAAACAGAACAAAAAGCAATTTTTATGAACTGGACAGATGTAGAGTGGGTCAACCATAATACTGTGCATTGTGAAAAAGGCTCACCTTCTCTTTGAACTTCTCATTCATGGCCGCCATCCTTGCGCTGCGATTCTCTTTGTTGACCTCCATCTTCTGGTTCAGCTTCTCTTCTGCCATCTTACTGAAGTTGTTGTTCTCCTCCATTGCCTTCTGGAGAACCTCCTTCTCATGTTCTCGTTTTTCAGCCAGGTGCTTCAAGACTTCTGCTTCATGCGACTAAACACACCATTTTAATTCATGAGCGTAATTCAAATGGCACCTACAGCTGCTGTGTAGAAGTTAATTTTATTTTTATTTTTTTAATGACGCAAGCATACCTTGCGCCTCTCTTCTGCAGCATCCAGTTTCCTCTGAATCTCCTCCAAGGACACATCTTTCTTCCTTGGGGGAGAGAGGGGGAACTCCCCTTTAGGATCTGGGGCAGATGGACTCAGGATGACCTCAAAGGCTTGACCAGATGCACGCTTGTCCAGCTCTTTGACCTGCATATCTGAAATTGGAAAAAATATTCTTCCTGAAATCCAGTCAAGGAAAACTGAAGCAAGCCATTATTTAATACCAACTTGAATCCCACATGCAATACGGGACACATCAAGACAGACCAATTATAAATCCACCCCCCCCCCCCCCAAAACAGACACCATGTCTACAATTCAACTTACCACCAGAGGACGCCATTTGAACCAAACAAGGTAGAGGAGGAACCTAGAAAGAAATCAAAATTGGTATGAATGCATGCAATTGTATTTATGCAACCGGATAAACCCCTAAAACTCAAAAGTAGAGGGCTGTCAGCGTCCCCATACGATTCCTACACATCAATAACCCATCTAAATGATTTAAAGCGGCCGGTATGAATTATTTGACAGTACAGTGGCGACACCTTTCGTTGAAGTTGTGTAAAAAAGGGATTACACGCACATCTTCACCCAAACCGCGCATTGTTTATCACGTTTAACAAGTCTCATCCAAAAATAGCCGTCAAATGTACAAACAAGTAATCGCCTAACAAGGCAAACCGTAAGCATTCTGGGCAGACAAACAATGCGCCAGATGCATCGACGTCTAATAATCCAGTGATAACTATAAACCAACCAATATACAGCGATGAGTTTTAACCACGGCAGGATATGGGTCTTATGAAACGCCCAGGTGCAAGGGCCATTCTAATCTGCAATTAATTCAGCCTCGGGGATTTCAAAGTGCTACTACGGATTAAAGCAAACTGAAGCCACCGTTTGCAAAATACGGCCCAGGAAGCCTCATCTCACAAACAAGTTAAGTGGAAATCAAGATACACCGCCCAAATTAAGACTATTGTTAAAACGAGGTCACAACGCGACGCAGCGCCAGCACACTTATTTGGCAGACTTCTGTCCAAAGCGATTTACAGATTAAAAGTATAAATATTTAAAACAATCGTGGCTTACCCCCAAGACCTTTTAGCCTGTCATCAAAACAAAGGGGCTGTTATACAGTCCAAGTTAGGAGGGGGAAAAGAAGCAGCTGCAAACAAAGCATGGACCCCCCGTGTCTAGCAACCCCCCCCCCCCACACACACACACCGCGCGCCGCACAAGAGCCTCAAGTTCAACCAAGAAAGCTCGCCACAAAATTCGCACACTTGCACTTCTTTTAATCTACGGCCACAAAAATACTGAATCCGACCATATGTTTGGGGAAAAATGATTCTCATCTCAGACAAATGTTAAAGGCTTAATCTAAACGCATCCGAATGCCAGACTCACCCTAAAAAACATAAGCAGAACCAGACAATAGACCATGCCCACAATCACTGGCCGTATTTCCAGAAGCTACCAACAACATAAGTTAATGACGTTTGATATATTATACTCACAAAATTCAAAGCATCAGATGAACTGATATCTCGCAAAGACTAAGATTCCATTTCAGCACACATTTATGGGGTTAAATTTAACAGCTAATGCCATTCCAAACATTGATCACACCCAAAGTGTCACCAGCGCCAGTTAAGTGACGGTAACGCCTGCATGCGCCAGCAATGAACTCGACAGATTGGTACTAATTAGCAATTTGCAAGTAACCTGGTCAACTAAACAGGACGCATTCGGTTGCATGCTTACATGGCAAGCAACTAGTCACTGAATAACGGGTTCGACCCAATATAGAAGGCTCTCGACTGCGTAAAACCTCTTCCCCATAAACCGCCCTTAAACAGAGCCGATCAAAGCTTTTTCTAATAAAAGTACGCCAACGTGTATGATGCTGACATATACAGTGCATATACAATAAAACTGCTTTTAAACTACTTAAATGCCCTCGTTTAATCACAGTACAAAGTAGATAAACAATTCGACGTGCTGGTTACCTAATCACCTTCCAGGTTTAAGGTTAATTACGACCATTCGCAAACAAACCAAACAACCTACTAGTACCAATCTTGCATGAGCGTGCATGTTTTGTATTATTATGACCCGCTGCGCATGCATTGCTTATTGCGATCACCAAAAATCAGAGCATCCTCTTCAACGAGACGGACATCGCGCCATCACACCCACCTTGCCTACTGCGTACTCTTGTTCTTCTCACCGAACGCTTCCCGCGCCGAAACGTACTACAGCTCAGGCTCTGCTGTTCGCGCAAAAAACAGGACCAAAGACACAGCGTCACGTCCATGTCTGTAAGCGGATTGGGTAATTGCTAAAAAAAAACATGGCGGTTCCTTGCACCCGTGCGGCACGCCGGGAGTTGCAGTTTTCAAACCCCGCGCTCAAAACAAACCGCGGGAGAAGTAAAGGTAGTGGGTTCTTTTGTTAAGCTAATCAGCCATGTTCTTATCTTGTTGGTTTGATTTCGCTTATGTTAAAAAAAACTTTATTGACGTTTGTGTACATTCAACGACTCAGGTGTATTACAGAAATTATTTTCTCTTTAGCCTTTCTTCAACTTTCTACTTCTTTACTTTTTACTAAGCTTAAATTGACCGTCAGTTGCTTATACTAATTCATGTATTAAACTTGTTTTGCGTGTATGCATTATAATTAATTTACTAAAGATGCATATTGATTGTATCGTACATACAAGATAAATACATTATACATATTATAGCTTCTGAAAGGAACACTTGGCATTGCTCGAAAATTCTTCTATGCTTAAAATAACAATACTTTAATCATCACCTGCGGCGACAACACTAAAACCTGATCTACCACGCCAGGAAACCGTACCTGCCAACTTCAGGTTATGAAAAATAGGGAGATTTTGCCGAGTGCGGGCAATTTTGGGGGGAGGGGGCAATATAGGCTTCCATCGGTACGATGTGGAAAAACGGGAGCAACCCGGGGAAATGGGGAGTGTAGGCTGGCATAGAAACTGCAGTACCTTTCTGCACTGGAAAGAATGCAGGGTTTAAAGTGATCTAATGGCGTTTTATGAGTGCAGACATTTATGCGTGATTCAACGTGAAAATGCTAAAGCAGAGTGCCACGCATTTCAAGCGCATGTCAGAATGAGTTCGTGTGTATTGCGACTTAGGCGGTTAAACTCTTGTTCGGACCTGTTCGCGTTTTTCCACAAAGCAACAATTAAGTAGCTACTACACGACGATATGCGACACAAAATAATACCAAACAGCACAGATTTGGGCGGTTAAAATATTTCTTAGGTTAAGCAACAAAGATGATAGATTGCATTCATTTTCGTGCTTAAATGACAGCATTATACTTGTTAAAACAACAGAATTTTATCAGACAATCATACATAACATCAGTGCCAACAAAGAATCCTGTATTATTGCATATTGTAAGAAAAAGGTACCAATCTGTACTTTTGTTTGTCACTGGAGCTGTACCCTCCATGGTCTGCCAATTATACCCTAGATGTAGATAAATATACCATTTAGTCTAAATGTACATGTACAGAAATGGACTCTGAGGAACATCCCCAAGGTACAAACAACATCAATGTATCCCCAGTGGTACAAAATGTTCCTCCTAATTTTCCATTTTTGTGTTTAAAAAGGTACAGTTGCCCTTGAGGGTACATCCCCAGTGACAAGGAAAGGTACAAATTGGTACTCTTTTTTTGAGTGTTTTTTCTTCTTTTTTGAAGAATGTAAAATGATTGACTCAGGAATAAATTATGAATTTACTCTGAAACTACATATGGCATTAAAATATCGTTATTTGAAAGCATAGTCCCAAATAATACAACTTTAATTGCCGACATGTTGTCCTTTTTTCTTGGAAGAAAATGATTAGAATATAACTCATATGTCTGGTTATTTCTCAGACATAAGTTTATATGTTTTTAGCTTTAAGGTCAGAAAAGAATTGTGTAACAGCACTGCAGTTCAGCCATGGATGACTGTCTGGTAGCTGTTTGTAGGTAAACTGTAGTTCTTTGAGAGTGGGAAGGTGTTGCTGTGTTGGGCGTCCTGACTGACACCTCATTTAACGCATTGAGTTATTCTGGCAGAAATACTCTCCCTGATGACTGGTTCGGTCTTGTAGGTTTCATGCACGTCCCCGAACGTGGCCGGCACCTCCAGCTTTTCAGTCACACGTTCGTTTGGTTTTCCAGTGGGCCGAGAAAGGGTGGCAGTGGCTGGAGGAGAGGCTGGCATGTGGACCGTCCTGGCTGCACCATGCTGCTCTGCCCATGAGCCACATTCCCAGCCTTTCGGCTGTCGTGGAGCTTCAGACACTGGCTCAAAATGTAAAGACCAATCCTGAAATTGATTATTTTATATTTAAGTATTTAAGCAGTCTTCCTCCAGTCATGGGTAGAGAACAAGAGCAGCTATGCTTCTCCTGTTTATTAGTTTTATCATAATTAGGACATGAAGTTGTCCTCACTCCCTGAAGCCATTTAGACAGCATTTTCCAGGAATTTCCTCAAGGTTGTCAGGCTTCCCAAAGGTATGTTTGTTGCTGTGATCTATCCATAAGTCTGTCCATCTTATTGCTGGTTGTCCACTTTCTCCTTTCTTTTCAGCTTTTCCAAGCATTACAGCTTTTTCCAGTTTCTTCTCATAATATACCCAAAATAGGAGAGTTTTGTTCTGGTTTGTTCACTTTTTTAGTTCATGCTATAACCATACCATATTCTGAACAATTCTGATCTTTGTTCTATGCCATTACCTCTGAAGATGGCCTCTTGGCAGTTTTGGTTTCCTCCTGCAGTCCAGAAACATGCGGTTAAGTTAATTGGCGGCTCTGAGTTGCTGACTGTGTCCGCGCCCTGTAATGGGCTGCGACCTGTCTAGGTCTTCTGCTCTGTACTGCGTAGGTTGGGCTCCAGGCTCTCCACTGCCCTGTATTGGATAGATGCTTGGAAGATGAGCGAGTAAATGATAGATTATAAGTGGAATAGTTGCATTTAAGCCTTGTCACTATGAACACAATTTTGTGAAATCACTATTCTTTATGATTCGCACTAGGAAAATCTTGCCTTTTTAAAAGATCTCACACACACCTTCCCCTGCTGATAAGGATGCATTATCCAGTTTAATCAGATTTACTGCCTCATAAACATTTTCAGTTTTTTTTATGTTGGTTTTTATTGGTTCTGTAAGAGTATTTCTGCATGTATAACATCTGATCAGTCCTTTTACATTTTAAACTGTTTTCTCCTGATCTCTACAGTTTCTTTGAAGGAAGCAAAACCTATACAGCAAAGACAAAGGTCTCTCTTAGGAAATCCTCAGTACAGCAGTTCATCTCCTTCAGTTATGTGCCTTATTCAGTAAATCGGAGTGTTAGCAAGTAGGCAACAGGGCATGACATACAGACATGATCTACTTTGTTGATATCTCCAGTCTCCACTCTCCTTTCTTCCTGCCATCTGGTGGCCCATTGCTAGGGGTCAGCAGGTCACGGCTCCTCCTCCTGGTCCTCTATTCCACTCTATCACTCAGGTGTGTGGGGTGGGGGTGGGTTCATGGCAGCACAATGCCAACAGGCACCCCTCAGCTCAAATTTGGCAGGACACAATTCAGATCGAACCCAAAAAGGGGCTTTTGAAAGGCACGAGTCACAGTAAACTGGTTATGCTGAGGGGATGTCCCCCCCCCC